AATGGAGGTCAAAATACCTGCACCAGTATGTGGGGTCGTTGCACATGCTGCAGCTACTGCTACTGCTCCTCCTCCTCCTTGGCTGTCTGTGATGTTGCATGGAAAATTTGATTGTGAATCAAGGTTCAATTTTATTGCCCTTTTCCTGCATAGTTTTTAGATTATACCTAATGCTTGTTTTACTTTTTTAGAAATAACATCCTAGAAAAAGTTTCTAATTGTAATTTATGAATCAAATAAGCTTCTTAAATTGTTTGTTTTAAAAACTATCTATATTTTCAGATGCTTTACCCCAAAAGTGCTTCTTTCTGATATGAGTTACTCTTGTACTTGTTCTCGCTGTCTGGAGCGACAAATTTCAGCAACAACCTCGCTGGCATCATCTGGTGAAAATCTGCCATGTCCTCTTATTTTTTGATCTATTGTTATAGTGTTCTTCCTATTCTTATAGTGTTCTTCTTTACTTAATGTGCTTAAGTATTTTCCTTAGCATTGCTGATTTCTGCCTTTTAATTCTGCAGGTCTCTGCTTGCGCTCACAAAGGCAAGAATAAAGTTGTGCTCTCAAAAGAAATAAACCTAGCATCAATGAAGGTCAGTCCCCGTAAATGAGCTAAGATGGATAAACTCATGTACTTTTTTAATTTTTTATTCTTTTGCACAATTAGCTTTCATTATTTCAACTTCCCAAAAACAGTTGAGCTATTTTACCTGCATTAAAAATTATAGCTCAGACACTGGTCACTGAGATTTTTTTTATTCTTTTAAAATACTTTTCTCAAGTACAGCTCCATCGATTGAAAAAAATCATTTTTCTGATCTAAGAATTTACTGACCCATGTTTCTTCATATTTGGACGGATTGACATCAATATTTGTCATATCATGCAGATTTAGATAAAGAATGCACATTGTATTTGTGGTGTTTGATGAAAGATTCCTTCCTTTTGATCCAGGAGATAAAATTTGTTTTTTTATCTTTTCCATTGCTTTTAAATTTTTGAACTTCTTTGTAGTTTAAGTTGAAAATTTCTGACTGTGCTAAGCTTAGATAGTACACTTCTGTTCTAGCTTTCCTTCGTCTGGTGTAGTCTTTAGACATCATGAGATTTTAAACAAATTGACAATTCTTCTGCTTTGCCGTCTTTGCTTGCCCTGTCTATGTAAACCCTGAAAAGCTTTGATGATGAAGAAGCTCACTCACTAGTTTATTCTGTCTAGAGGTTCATTTTACTTTTACCTTTTTCCATTGAACAAGATGAGTTAAGTTTAAATCAACTTGAATAGAAAATATTTTCTGATTTGATGGTTAATCTTTTCACCAACTTATGTTTTTCGTGCTGGTATTGATATCTTCAAGTCATTATGATGATTTTTTAATCTATATATGATTAAAGTATGTGAAGGAACATATGACCTTTAATAATGATAGGCTTTTGTTCTTTTGATTAATTTATACCAAGCTTGTTCGTTATATTTTTCTCATCTATGCTGCATATCCATTTTACATGGAGACATTTTTCCATAGGCAGTGCCTACACTGGCAATTTGATTGCTGGGTTCTATTCCTTTTATAACGATTGGCTAATGTTCTTTGGATTAAATTATACTACTTCTGCGTGTGTATATATATATATATATATAAGGTTCTATTTGGGCGCGAAGCTCCACCCGCTGTCGCGCCCGTTCTTGGTGACGAGCCTCGTCCATTGAGCGGGCTTGCTCCATCCGCTCGTCGACTTCTAACTCTTACACCGGTGGATCAATGGTCAGGATTGAGTGTAAGACTTCTAACTCTTATACCGGTGTAAGAATATCCTGCCCCTATATATATATATATATATATATATATATATATTCTTCTCACCTATGCTTCATCTATGCACGTAGAGGATTTTTTTGCATAGACAGTGGCTACACTGCCAATATGCCATCACGTTCTGAGTTGAATAATTGCTTTACATGGTTTTGTAGGTAAATGCAGATATTTCGATGTACGTGGTTTTTCAAGGATGCTCGAGCATATACATGGCACTTGAGTGATTAAGTCTATGACTATATCTTTCGTGCCTTAATCATGCTTTCGGAACTTTGCTTTGTTGAACTAATGTTCTTATTGCTTTCTTGGTACTGTACACTTGATGTGCTTCTATTAAACAGCATGACTTGTATTCACAGATTGCTTAATGGTGTGTGATATGATGTTATGAGATTTTTAGTTTCTTATTAATATATTATCAACAACCCTTGGTGACTGCAATTTTTACACGTCTGATGGCTCATGACTAATGGAAGGATTATATATAGGCACCAAGAAAATGTAACTCTAAATTTTTTGTGCTTTGGTAAGAAAGGAAAATTCAACATCTAATTAGAAATTGAATTTTCTCGATAGAGTAGAGGCATCCTAATATTTTTAGTTTTTTATATTTAAACTTGATTCATAACTTAGTTTAGCAATTTAATTCCTGCATCAAATGTATATCTAAATAAATGATCTTAACACCATTTGATTTTAAAAGCAGACTTGTCTCTTATATAACAAGTCAATTTATCAATTCTATCTTGAGGATGGAGTTATTTTAAAAAATTGGAATTATAATATTCAAATATTAACAGTCGCAATCAAAATTTGACGTACAGAATATATAAGTTATAACGTTTGGATTAAACCTATTGTCTCAAAATGAATTTTAAAGGAACGAAATAAATTTAAAATGGGTTACCAAATAAACATTTAAAAATAATGGACAAACGGACCCATGAGTAGTAAATTTATCAGGACCGTTAAGTACTTGGATCAATTGATAAATGATAGCAAGTAGAGCTTTTTTTATTGATGAACCGACTATTTCATTTAATTAACGTAAGTACAAGTCATGATCTGGCCTTTGAAACCGATCCTTTATTAACGTTTAGGCCATATTTAAAGATAAGGTTTGATAATATAAGACTTGATAATATAAAATTTGATTGCATAAGACTTATTAAATTTCTATCCAACGTTAGTATGACATCATATAAGATGATGTATTGTATAAGATAATATTATCCAATATTTAATAGTATATTGTGTAATACTAGATTGGATAAAAATAAACATTTTTGATATAAATACCCTTTAATAAAAAATTTATATAATTCTTCCAAATATGTCATATGATATTAAATTTTTATAAAAATCTATTGATCAATATATTCAAAAAATAAAATAATTTTTGTATAAATAAAAATCTTCAATATTTTTTAAAAAAATTCCATGAATACTATATATATATATATATATATATATATATATATTGACTTAAAACAAATTTATTTAGTTATCCTTCTCCGTCTAAACTTTCTCTACCTCACAATGATAAACAATAGGGAGCAGTCAAACTTCAATGTGTTTTTCCAAATATTTTTTATTTTATTTTTATATGAATATAATTACTCAAGTTCCTTGGAATATACCATTGACTTAAAATTGGAGTTTTTATAATTCATTGACACTTTAACCCATGGATACTTTGTAGCATTACCATAAATTTAACATTGAAGACCACTGTAAACAGTGGCATAACTCAATCTGAGAAGAAATTGCAGGGCTTCCAGATTCAGAATTCAATCTGAAAACAAGAGAAGAAAAAATACCTTTTTTTTATTAAAAAATATCATTTTTAATATAGGGTTTTATGCAGTGTTTTAAAACTCGAACCGGTCATCGACTCGGTCGAGGTATGGGTCATTGGTTCAATCGGGTTCAACCGGTTTTACTGTTCACATATTAAAAAAAATATAAACATATTATTTATATTAAAAATTCACATATGAAAACTATCAATTAACTTCAAAAAATAAATTGGTTCTCAATGATAGCAAATATTATAAACTTCTAAGCTTCTAGCTCTAGACCATATACTAATATTGGATTAAAATTGCAATGTAAGCTAAATGCGCCTTTTGTGCCTTAACATAACACGGATAAATTAAATCATGATAACAAATAGTAGGCATGAAATATACACTAAGGAGAAAATGTCCACCGTTAATATGAGACCATCAGTGTTTATCCCCACTAAACTTATTAAGATCATTATAAGATGCAACTAAATTACATAAACGAATTGCACTAATCCAAAATACTTTCTTATTTGCACCTTACTTATGAGGGTTTTATTACTATCATGTTACATAACCCAAGAAAATTTTCCTACACACACAATTAAGAGGTGGGATCCACATGTTTTTTTTTTCTCTTTCATCATTCCACCTTCTCTCTCTTCTTTATTGTGAGGGTAGGAAAATGTTCTTATATCATGTAACATTATAGTAATAAAATCCTACTTATTAATCATATTTACCACAAAATATGAACATGATTTAATTCAAGAGTTCTCATCAACCAAAAAAAAAAAAGTTACCAAAAAAAAAAAGACAAAAAAAAGAGGGTCAACCGGTCTAACCCGGGTCAATCGGTTTAACCTGGGTCACCGAGTCTCCTGGTTTCGGCCGAGTCAACCGGTCCAAACCGGGTCGACTATGGAACCGGTCCAAATGACCACTCGGATCGGGGAACCCACCGGGTCACCGAGACCCGGGTCGACCCGACCGGTCCGAGCCGGTATTTAAAACACGGGTTTTATGTTATATGTATATTCACGCTCAAAAAGTATAAAAAGGGATTATTTTAGTATTTTTATTTAATTTTTTATCATTATTTTACCTTCAACTAAACATACACTTAGAAAATTTAACTCAATTTTTTCAATAACATTTCGGTGTACCAAACAATTTTTTTTAAACTTTCTTACCAAAATCACTTTCCCACCATATTCCTATTAATTTTATTTATCTGGTAAAAAAAATTTCTCCTCTACTAAAATGCTTCATAATTTTCTCTATATAAAAAAGTTGTCAAGTGCAAAATATCTCGCATCAAAATTTAAAAAGCAAAATATATCAATAAGATAAATAAATAATAAATTTAGAGAGGAAATTACCTACAACACCCCTCTAGCTAGAAGAAATAGCGACAAGACGCGAACCAGATGCAAACAGAAGCCCTAATCGCAATTCAAAAACCCTAAAACACACCACTTTAGAATCAAATCGAGCATCCCTAGGGCCTCTTTCAGTTTCGCAATAACAGGTTACCTTTCTACGCTAATTTACACTCTAATTCGGTTAAGTGATTCTGCAATTTCGATGTTCTAACAATTGATCTCATATATATATATATATATATATATTATTTGCTTTACAGTTTTTCAATGCTGCGATTGCTTATGATACTGGTGTTATTCTGGATTGATGGACTTAAAGGACTGGGACTAATATTATATGTACATGCTGTGTTCTGTGATGCTTTAGATTCTAGAGCCACCTAGGTGTATAAGTTACTATTTTGCTAGACAATGTTGCTAGTTTATTCTATTTAATATTAGGATTTTTATTGTTTTATTGGGTCTGAATTTTTTATTTGCAACTTTACAGGAGGGAGAAGGTAAGCATGAAGCAAAATGAGAAATGGATTTATTTTTATTTTTTTAAATAATATATCTTGATTCTAATATATTTGCGCCCAAGACACTGTTTTCTGTTAAATTTATGTGAGAGTTTTGGGTATTGTTTTCCTTCTTATTCATTTCAAGGTTATTGGTGTAGAATTGTTCGGAGATGGCTGATGCTCAAGAGACTGATAAGAACATCGAGGTGTGGAAAATCAAGAAATTGATCAAGGCTCTTGAGGCTGCTAGAGGAAATGGGACGAGTATGATTTCCCTTATCATGCCCCCACGTGATCAAATATCTCGTGTTACCAAGATGCTTGGTGATGAGTTTGGAACTGCTTCAAACATCAAAAGCAGGGTGAATCGACAGTCTGTTCTTGGTGCAATCACTTCTGCTCAGCAGAGGCTTAAGCTTTATAACAAGGTTCCTCCAAATGGGCTTGTTCTGTATACTGGCACAATTGTGACTGACGATGGGAAGGAAAAGAAGGTGACTATTGATTTTGAGCCTTTCAGACCTATCAATGCGTCTCTCTATCTCTGTGATAACAAGTTTCATATCGAGGCTCTAAATGAGCTCCTGGAGTCTGATGACAAGTTTGGATTTATTGTCATGGATGGCAATGGTACTCTGTTTGGAACCTTGAGTGGTAATACAAGAGAGGTGCTTCATAAGTTTAGTGTGGATCTCCCAAAGAAACATGGAAGAGGAGGGCAATCAGCTCTACGGTTTGCCCGTCTTCGCATGGAGAAGCGTCATAACTATGTGAGGAAGACTGCAGAGCTTGCAACCCAGTTTTATATTAATCCCGCTACCAGCCAGCCCAACGTTTCTGGATTAATACTGGCTGGATCAGCTGATTTCAAAACTGAGCTTAGTCAGTCAGATATGTTTGATCCTCGACTTCAGGCAAAAATACTTAATGTTGCAGATGTATCCTATGGAGGGGAGAATGGGTTTAATCAGGCTATTGAACTATCTGCTGAAATCCTGTCAAATGTGAAGTTTATCCAGGAGAAGCGATTGATTGGAAAATACTTTGAGGAAATTAGCCAAGATACTGGAAAGTATATTTTTGGGGTTGATGATACTCTAAAAGCTCTGGAGATGGGAGCTGTTGAGATACTTATTGTCTGGGAAAATCTGGATTTGAATAGGTATGTCTTAAAAAATAGTACTACTGGAGAGGTTATCATTAAGCACTTCAACAAGGAACAGGAGGCTGACCAGAACAATTTTCGGGATCCTGTGAGCTCTGCTGATTATGAGGTTCAGGAAAAGTTATCTCTGCTGGAGTGGTTTGCAAATGAATACAAGCGGTTTGGTTGCACTCTTGAGTTTGTCACCAATAAATCACAAGAAGGTTCACAGTTTTGCAGAGGTTTTGGCGGGATAGGTGGGATCTTGCGTTACCAGCTTGATATGAGATCGTTTGATGATTTGTCTGATGATGGAGGTGTATATGATGATTCTGATTAGCAATCAATGAAATACTTCCTACTGCTGGTGCAGGAAATGGAGGTCAAAATACCTGCACCAGTATGTGAGGTGGTTGCACTTGCTTCGACTACTGCTGCTGCTCCTCCTCCTCCTCCTTGGCTGTCTGTGATGTTGCATGGAAAATTTGATTGTGAATCAAGGTTCAATTTTATTACCCTTTTCTTGCATAGGTTTTAGATTTATTTAATGCTGGTTTGTTTTTTTAGAAATAACATCCTGGAAAAAGTTTCTAATTGTAATTTATGTATCAAATTAGTTGCTTAAACTGTTTGTTTTAAAAACTACTTCTATATTTTCAGATGCTTTACCCCAAAAATGCTACTACTTCTATATTTTCAGATGCTTTACCCCAAAAATGCTTCTTTCATATATGAGTTACTCTCCTACTTGTTCTCACTGTCTGGAGCCACAAATTTCAACAACTTCTTTACTGGAATCATCTGGTGAAAATCTGCCTTGTGCTCTTATGTTTCGATCTATTGTTTTAGTGTTATTCCTTACTTAATGTGCTTAAGTATTTTCTTAGCATTGCTGATTTCTGCCTTTTAACTCCACAGGTCTCTGCTTGAACTCAGAAAGGCAAGAATAAAATCGTGCTCTTAAAAGAAACAAACCTAGCATCAATGAAGGTCAGTCCTCATAAATGAGCTAAGATGGATCAACTCATTTACTTTGTTTTTTTTTTGTTATTCTTTTGCACAATTAGCTTTAATTATTTCAACTGCTGAAAAACAGAACGTAGCTGTTGAGCTGTTTTACCTGCATTCAGAAATATAGCTGAGACACTGGTCACTGAATTTTTTTATTCTTTTTTAATACTTTCCTTAAGCATAGCTCCATTGATTGAAAATTTTCATTTTTATGATCTAAGAATAAACATGGTCACTGACCCATGTTTCTTCATATTTGGACGGATTGACATCAATCTTTGTCTTATCCTGCAGATTTAGATTAAAAAATACACATTGTGTTTGGGGTGTTTGATGAAAGATTCCTTTGTTTTGATCCAGGAGATAAAATTTACTTTTTATCTTTTCCGCTGTTTTTAAATTACAAACTTCTTTTGTAGTTTTAATTGCAAATTTCTGACAGTTCTAAGCTTAGATAGTACACTTCTATTCTAGCTTTCCTTCTTCTGGTGTCGTCTTTAGATATCGTGAGATTTTAAACAAATTGAAAAGTCTTCTGCTTTGTAGTCTTTCTTTGACCTGTCTGTCTATGTAACCCTGGAAAGCTTTGATGAAGAAGAAGCTTACTCACTAGGTTATTCTGAGTAGAGGTCCATTTTACTTTCACCTCTTTCCTTTGAATAAGATGCGTTAAGGTTAATGCAACCCTTTGTATTGTTGAATTGAAAATATTTTCTGAGTTTGATGGTCAATCCTTTTTTCATAATTATAATTTGCATGGAAAAGAAGCCAAGCTAAGTTACCTTTTGTCTGAGTGCTCTGCTTTAATCTTTTTACCAACTTATATTTTTCGTGGTGATATTGATTTCTACTTGTCATTATGATGATTTTTTAATCTATATATGATTAAAGTGAGTGAAGGAACATATGAGCTTTAGATTGGCTAATGTTCTTTTGTTTAATTTATACCAAGCTTGTTTGTTGTATTCTTGTCATCTATACTGCATATCCATTTTACATTGAGACATTTTTGCATAGGCAGTGCCTACACTGGCAATCTGCCATAGCTGGGTTCTATTTCTTTTTATAATGATTGGCTAATGTTCTTTGGATTAATTTGTACCAAGTTTGTTTATATATATATATATATATATATATATATATATATATATATATATATTTTCTTCTCACCTATGCTTCATATATGCGCCTAGAGGCTTTTTTGCATAGACATTGGCTAAACTGCCAATTCCTTTCACGTGCTGAGTTGAATAATGCCTTACATGATTTTGTAGGTGAATCCAGATATTTCGATGTACGTGGTTTTTCAAGGATGCTCGAGCATATACATGACACTTGAGTGCTTGAGTATATGACTATATCTTTTGCGCCTTAATCATCATTTCAGAACTTTGATGTGTTGAACTGATGTTCTTATTCTTTCTTGGTACTGCACACTTGATGTGCTTCTATTAACAATGACTTATATTTTACAGATAGCTTAATGGTGTGTGATATGATGTTATGAGATTTTCAGTTTCTTATTAATATGAAATTATGTCAAAACCCATGCTGTTTCTTTTTACTTTGAAGTGCTGGGGTTGGTTGGGAATTTGCCTCGAGGGGCATGTTTGATTGTGCTTTCTTAAAGCAACTAATGTTTTTTAAAAATTCAATTTATTTAGTCTAAATTATTCTGTTTCAAATCAGCTGATAATGAAAACATTAAATTTAGGTCAACTTCGAGGTGTTTTTGTTCCTCTAGTTTGTTTGTGTATGTATAGTCAGGTACTTGTTGAAGCTATAGCTTTGTGCCTTTGATGAGGGTGGTTTAGCTAGGCAGTGGAGGCTTAAACTAGTGCTTCAATCATGTAAAGGTATTTTGAATTGGTTACAGCTCTGTAGGGTATATACCCTTGGAACAATTTTGGTTGAGCCACCAGATTGGATTCCTGTATACTTTTGTTTGCTGGGAGTGTAGAATAAAAGAAGTATTGTGTTTCCTCTTATTCGAATTCAATTGTGGAAGTATAACTGGCCTAGCTTTTATTTAGATCGTCATCTTAATTTATAAATATAATGTTTAGGAGTTTGAAGAAGCGGAAAGTTCGAATTTGATAAATCAACAATTAAAATTGGTCAAATTCCTTATAATTCTGTCAAATTTGATATTCTGATTCTTTTGAACTTTATGTTTTAAATCGAATGAATCTAAATTGGAGTTTTAAGATGGTGACAGTTCGAACTTAATGAATCATTGACGTAAAAGTGGTCAACTTATAATTCCATCAAATTAGGTATTCTGAGCTTTGGGCTTCTATATTTTTTCGCTGGAATGAATCTTAATTTCCAAATTAATAAATCTTGTTATGAAATTTAGTGAAATAGTTGCTCTATGCGGTGATCCTACAGGATTTTTTTTTTAAGGAAGATATAACTACGTATGTGCTAGCATTGTGAGGGGGCAAGCAGACACGGCAAAATTAGGAAGCATCCTATCTTTTTATTTGATACTTGAATACGAAGTATCAATTTTTTTATTTTTATTTTTTGGTTCTAAGTATCAATTAATTTTGATTAATTGTCGGAGTTTTGCACTATTTAATTATATATTGTTATAAAAAATTTGACTAGATGTAATAATACATGATTCGATAATAATATATAAAATTTAAAATTTACAATGCATAAAAGCTAAACCATTTCAATTATTATAAAAATCTGAACTAATTTAATTCTAACACAATATTTTAAGTCCAAGAGACAAGTACAATGTATCAATAATCATCCAAGGATGAACTTTTCATAATTTCATGTCTGCTTGCTTTTGTTTATCTTCTGCCCTTTTTAAATATTATATCCGTTAAAAAAAAAGCATCATGTAGATCTTGTTTATATATATATATATTTTGTCTAGACTAAATCAATTAACAATTGATACATTATTATTTTGAATATAAAATAATTATAAATATTTATGTAATTATTTAATATATAATGATGATGTATGATTAATTGATATAGTTAATAGTAATAAAACTTATCTATACGCTAATGAATTTCTCTATTATCGAATCTATTACTGCCTGCTTAATCATGGAATCCATTCGACTGCATTATAAGAACATATTATCATTGCCTTTATTGTTAAAATAGGAGTAGCTAGTCAGCTAGATATTTTTGGGCACATAAAAGTTTAGGAGATTGGAAAATTGTCCTATTTCAACCTCAAGACACGGTACAAATTTTAGGGAGAACCTCCATCAGTACTTATACTATAAACAAATGGTTCTTTAGATAGATTGATGTATATACTTTAAATGTATGTGCAAGAGGTATGCTGTTACTGCAACGTTGTGGATTGAATAAAATGGTTAGAGAATGGAGAGCTAGAGCCATAGTGTAAAAATATTTAATTTTTTTTAAGTAATTATGATAACTTACTGAAAAATAATAATTTAATCCTTAAGGACACACACCTCAAGCCCAATTTTTTGAAATAATTGAATAGTTATGTTTTTATATAAGAAAATAGTCACACTCAATTAAAAGCCAAACCAAATTGTACTTATCCTAATTACTTAATTGTTTTTCTTGTCTTTTCAGAGATCTCAGGGCCACCAAGCTAATCCACAACTTGAACATTTTATTAGTAACATAATGGAACCGTAGGACCACAATTATACGGTCGAAGATACGAGCATTGGTTCCATGTATTTTCCATTCTTTAAAATGAATCACAAAATAATGTTATGATATTTGAAGCAAATGTTTTTACAAGCAGAACCAATTTGAATATTTCAAAACTATGATGGTTTGAACTTTGACCTGATTGTGTGTTAAGTGAGGCATGGTTGCAATCAAATTCAAATCCATACATTTCAATATCGTTATCAATGTGACATATCAACTGTTCATCAGGACCCATGTGCACATAATTAAGTGGATATAACATACTCAACAAAATTCTCATTCAGCACGTCAATGATAAAGGTATTTGGTCAAGTTTACATGTATTATGCAAATTAGCCATATGATCCAATGTATAGAGAGCTTGAAGGAACCAAAAAAAAAAAAAAGGGTCTTGCAGGTTCTTTGCAATTTCCTTGGACAATAAGATAGAAATATTCAATTCTTTTAGTTCTTAATTAATGAGGTTAGAATAGGGGCATGTGTGTTAGCTAGTACTAAGCTTTCATTAAATATATATATATATATATAAATCAACTATTGACATCAAAACCGACAATGTCATGTGCAAATTTGATGATTTATTGGATGGAAAATTCACTTTTGATACTCATATATCCATACCCTTCTGTCTTACGTAAAATTGTGATGGGGATGTTTGAGGCCATCAATTCAGAATAATAAGAAGATGCCCCCAACCTTTTTCCTCCCATTTCTTTTGTTTCTTTTTATTTGTCCCTTTCAGTAATATTTTGGAGATGTTTCCCCAATTTTTTATGTGCTTCCGGGAACGATCTATTGCCCTTTTTTCCATTAAATTAAGCAACATATCATGAAATGGGTACACACCGATACCTTCCCCGGTAATGTGACTGGTGTTACAAAGAAAAAGCAACAGTTTGAGAATAGAGGGGATCACAGTTGTGAATATAATATATGTAGACTTTGAAAGCGATGTGTTAGAAGACCTATATTAATACCGAGAAAGTTTGAATTTAAGGTAACATTAGGTAAGATAGAAGCCCACCCAACTCTCAAACCTTGGGATACATGTATATGCTCTTCAATTATACGCAATTCCTTAGGTTACTGTTTCTCCATTGATGTTTTTTTTACCCTGAATTGGTTCATCTCTACCAATATTATTAAATTCGGATCAGTAACTGATAATCGGAATACTGGGTACTTGCTTCAACAAGTGGATCATTAGTTCAATCGCTTAAATTAAATTTATATAAAGATATATAATAAAGGTTTTATAAAGATATATCTTTACACACACACATATATATATATAAAGATAAGTTATCTATATTTACTTCTAAAATAACGTTGTTTTGAGTTAAAAAATTAAAAAATTATAATGAGAAAGACTATTATAACTCTGAAATAAATTATAATTATAAAAATACCTTGATTTTCGTCCCAAAACGAAGTCGCTTTGGGCTCAATGTAAATAATTTGGCTACATTGATTGCATAAAAAATAAACACTATAATTAAATATACAAAGAGAAATAATATAACAACCAAAGTGATCTGACTTAGTGGTTAGTATACTTTCTTTCCCCTATATGCCAAATTTGAATCCCCAAATTAAGTGCAATTGTGATGGAATATGACCGCTTCACCTGTTTTTGACTGGTTTATATGCATGATCGGTCAATGAACTGGTTCTCGATCAACTGATCCGACCAATTGGATCGGACCGATTTTAATAACACTGATATGTATTCAACTAATTTGGTTTGAATAATTTCAGACCTATATAAAATTCTAAGAAACTCTTTATCACTTGAATAAATAATTATTAATTATGCAATTGATGTTTTACCATCATGGGTATTTCTTTTATATTTTTTGTTTTTAATAATTTTTTTTTCTTTCAAATAACCATGGAGGAAATTTTCCTTAGAATTGAGGAAGTACGCTAAGAATAAAGTTGCACGTCCCGGCCCAAAAACTGACAAAGGAAAATGACATTTCTAGCTTCAGCTTCAAGAAGCAATTCAGGTACCAAACGTTCAATCAATGTACAATTAGGTAAAATTAGAATGGCCAATGATTGATTATTCTGGGGTCTTCCAACTGTAAATATAACCAAACTATATTATGCAGTGGATATTTGAAAAATGAAAAACAAATTGTTTTAAATCGTAAACGTTGAACTTAAGGCATGAATCAACAATGGTAAGTGGTTGCCTTTGGCCCACTCATGTATATATTCGGATCCACTTTGAGTATCTATTTATTGATTGCATGTGTTAGTGGAAATTTTTGCTTTTAGAAACCGAAAAAAATGGCTTTTTGTCGTTTGGCTTTAACCCAAATAATAACGACCGGGCGTATATAATGTTCTCTGAATTTTATTTTTCTTATTGTGTTTTATTACAATATCAATGGGAAACAACGACCTTTCTGAATGAATATACTGAACAATTAGGTCATGATAAACAGATAACAAATAAAAAATTTGTGACCAAATTAAATAGATTGGAGATCATGATTATAATATATATATATATATATATATATATGGCTTTAATGTTTCTAAAGTGAATGTAGATAAGTTATCTACATTCGCACCCAAAACGATGTGGTTTTGGGTTGAAAAATTAAAAAATTATAATAAAAAAGACTATTATAACCCTGAAATAAATTATAATTATAAAAATACATTGATTTCCACTTCAAAACGACGTCGTTCTGGGCTCACTGTAGATAAGTTATCTACATTGACTGTAGAAAAAGCGAACCATATATATATATATGAGGAAGATTATACTTATAATCTATTTTTATTTACAACTTCTTACAACCATATTTGTTATCATTTATTATGAATTAATAATTAATTAATGAATTTGATTTGA